GAAGATTTGTACCATCAATGTTGGGAGGTTTTCTCCTGAGAGACACTCTGACAAAAGGCTTGTCACTGAGGCGGCAAGAACATGTCTGAAGAACATGTTCGATTCAAAGAAACAGCTTAGAGTTGACATGTGTAAACTGTACAGTAGCAAGCCACAAGGATTGGCAATGTCATGTGAAACCTGACAGACGTATTCCATCAACACGTCTGTGTACTGCACTCTCATGGAGTGAAAGATAAACATATAAAGCTCTTTAAGCAGACAGAATTTGCGAATCCTAAACAAAATGATGAAGCTACAAATGAAGGTCTCTTTATATTACTACATAAAAGGAAATAACCATCACTTTTTCTGTCTTCCAATTATTTTCCCTCTTTCTTTTTCTATTTCAGCCCTCTGTTCTGGAAAGTTTTGCAGAAAATGCCAAGCGAAATTATGATAAACACAAAAAGGCCTTTGATGTAAGCGCATATGAATAAACACGGTTTGAAATGCTTCAGGCTTTTCATATCATCAAAACTCCTACTTTACGCTTTATCTTTAAGAAGGCATAAAACGAGCATCCGGCAAAACCTTTCGCACAGGGGCAAGATCCTGCTACAAAGATAAGGCCATCTGAAAACCTTCCTACTCGGACAAACTAAAATAATTATTTTTTCACAGCTGAAAACCAGAACTTTCAACTGAGAAGCAATGAGCCACAAGGTCAATTATATGTGGACTTTGTGTAATGGAATGAGTCAATGATGTTTGCCAAGTCGTGTCTAGAATTAATGAGTACTTGACACTTCATATTTTCCAGCCAGGGCTCCCGGGCATTATAATCAATACAAGGAACGCATTAGCTGTCCAACTGAATGATGTCCTGAAATCATGGCTGTAAGAACCATTTAGCAAATATGAAATTATCAGTATGGTATTAATCTCAAAAGAGCAAACAACGCATTTCCGCAGAAGTCAACAGCATGTTAGAGATTGTGCTAACCAACTGCATAACTGGAGCAGACGAGACAGGAGGGAGGGCTGTGCCAGATGTACTGTAAAAATTAGTCATGCAAGTTTTGTTTTCTTTCAGTGGAGTAAAGAGTACAGCTGAAGAATAAGTATGCTGCGCAGATGCACACGCCCACTCAGCGAACCGGGGTCTCGCTGTGCTCCGATTGGAGTTGACTATCTTTTAATTTGAATTACAGATTTCTTTGGCTAAAGTTTTGCCTCCGTTGTTCATCTGGGCCATGGACGTTTTATTCCACAGCGAATATTAAAGCTCATCTACCTTCGTTTTTTTTGGGTTTTGGGTTTCTTTCATCTAACATTGTTTTACTGTGACGGTTCCTGACATCTGAAGAGATCACCTACTTACATCACAACTTTCTTATCTATTAATTTTCTGTTTATACAGTAGAATGCTTCAATTTCTCGCAGTTATAATGAGCACAAGTTTACCATTTTTACATTTGACAGATGCTCCTAATTTAGGCTCATTTGTTTTCACACTTATTTGAAAAATAACTTTTAAAACACAAGACATAAGTAAGGCGCCGACTTTATTTTCAATCACATCTATAATTTGCTGTGAGCTGTGATTTAGCACACAGTGCTACTGATAGTCAGGTTCAGAGCTTAGCAAAACTCTCTGTTTATACACCACTTTGAATTTCATTATTAGTTATTATTAATCTCTGGCTCTCTTCCAGACGGAGTCTTTTTTCGTGTCTGCCCAAACCGGTCGTGGCAGATGGCTGAGCCTGGTTCTGCTGGAGGTTCCTTCCTATTAAAAGGGAGTTTTTATGTTCCAAGTTCTTGCTCACAGGGGGTTATCTGATTTTTGGGGTTTTCTCCCTATTATCAAGGGCTTTTTACCTCACAATATAAAGTGCCGTGATTTGGCGCTACACAAATAAAACTGAATTGAATTGGATAAAATGATTTCTCGAGAGATGATGTCTATCATGTTGTGACTACCTACTTTAATATTTGAATATGACGAGCACGGTGTTGTTACAGTTTTAGGACTGTTTAAGAACAAAAGTTTAGAACGATGAGTAACCATTTTCCTCCCAGCCAGAGACTGTGTCATGGTCTGGGCTCTGCTGTCCCAGCAGTAATGCATGGCTGTTCTGCTGAAGAGCTCAAAGACATCCACAAGACGGGACCAATTACAGCCTCCCAGACATCACCGGAGAACACCACCTCCACATCTCTACGGTTACCATAATGACCTCTCAGGGGCTGATGGGAGGAATTGGGATGCTTGGATACAGAGCTCGAGAGAGTGTCTGACAGCACCATGTGCAAGAGCACACTGCATAACTAGACAAAAAAGATTTTAAAGGGTTTTAAAGTGAAATATAGATCTCTGTAATAATGGTTTCATTTCTCCTTCATGGTGTGGAACCTCATATGAAAGACTTTGTGAAACTTGGATGGATCACTTTGGGAACAATGGAAGGTCTTCAACACTTGACCCTTTTTTGATAACTCTCGACTTTATATTGTTAGAAGTGCAATGTTGAAATCTATTATTATTTAGCCCATATTGGAATACCATCTATTGACTGTAAGCCTGCAAAGTAGCAGAAGATTTGTAAATAAAGAAAAATCTTAATTATGTAAAATATTTCAGCAACAGTTCCATTGCAGGATTTACATTTAAGCAAATATTTGCCACTGGCCATATTACCTCCTTTGCTCAAAGGGTTGGATTTTCTTGAGCTGTATTGATTCCAGTAAAGCACAAGCAAGCTCAAAGAGTACTCAAAGATTTGCTTAGCTGTTATAAATATGGCTGTGCTGAAAGTTTCAGGCGGAAAATTGTATAACAGCACAGTGACAGTGGGAAACGTGGCATCAGATCTAAGTGAAACTGTCAGAAGTTAAATTGTTTTTCTAAGAAAAACCGGGGCTTTCTCGGCTTCAAATCTGAAGGTTAGCAAGAAGGCTGACAAAGAGGGTAGTACATGACATTGAAAAATGCTTTGCATAAATTGAGAAGTTGGATCCGAAGCAATATCACCCAGACAAGAAGAGAAATGGAAAACAATTTCATCACAGACACAGAATTTCCTTAAGTTCTCTCTTTTGTCCACATTCAAGGTGGTGCACAAAATGACACTAAGCAACACAGTAGGTTCACTTCTCATTTAAATATGCCGAATGATTGACGATAAGACTCTAATTGAAAGCGAGAGTCTGGTTTAAATATCACAATAAATATCACAACACTCCTCTTATCACCGGGGTAGCGATAATTTTGTCCAAGCAATTTTAGATCTCCCCAGAATAAGAAAGTATTCAGCTCTTTTCACAGCTCCTTTTATTCTATGACAGACCAGCAGCATGCAGGCACGCAAGACAAATGAGCTTTTTATTTCCAACTTTTTTTGGAAGAATTTTCTTTCAGTGAGGGGTATAAGTCCCGACAGTTTCGGCTGTGTCTGTGTATATCCACTGTGTACTTTGGTCTGAAAAATGGCCAAAGTTTGCAGGATAAAAAAAAAATGTTTGAAAGACATAGCCGCATTTAGTGCTTTGTCTGCAAGTCCCAAAGCTCCAATTTGATCCGTTTTATTATTTTATACTTATCTGCACATGACAAAGCTCTTACAAAGATACATACATATGCATAGAATATGTGTTTAAGATTTTAATTCATTTTCTGAAAAAAAT